ATAACCAACCTGTAAAGTTGTCCCCTGACTCCATACAAATGTCATGGTATAATGCCTGCACCCTCCCACACCACACATGGCACACACACAAAATAAATTTTAAATTAAAAAAAATTCTAAAGCCCCACCCCTAAACAAAAAAATCTCTAAGTAATACTTTACTAGAATGTGGCTATGAAAGAGACTTAACCTTGATATAACGTGTATTCTCCCTGCCAGCCTGGACCCATAGATGTGTCAGTCCCAAATGAACACACAGGATGCTATATTAATTATAAAGCTGTTGGCTGTTTGCTATGGTTTCTTATTGGCTAGCTCTGACTTAAGTATTAACCCATAATTACTAATATATATATATATATATATATATTTTTTTTTTTTTTTTGGCTTTTCGAGACAGGGTTTCTCTGTGGCTTTGGAGGCTGTCCTGGAACTAGCTCTTGTAGACCAGGCTGGCCTCGAACTCACAGAGATCCACCTGCCTCTGCCTCCCAAGTGCTGGGATTAAAGGCGTGCGCCACCAACGCCCGGCACATATATATATATATATATATATATATATATATATATATATATATACATTTTTTTTTTTTGGCTTTTCCAGACAGGGTTTCTCTGTGGCTTTGGAGGCTGTCCTGAAACTCGCTTGGTAGTCCAGGCTGGTCTCGAACTCACAGAGATTCGCCTGCCTCTGCCTCCCGAGTGCTGGGATTAAAGACCTAATACATATTTTTATAAGGTCTTATCTTACCGAGGATGCCAGACTTGCACCTTCTCCTCCCAGGATCACGTGGCGACTCTCCACTCTTGACTACATTTCCCAGACTAGACTCCCCCTCGACTCCTAGTCCCACCTATCTTGCTTCCCTATTGGCCAACAGTGCTTTATTTATCAACCATTCAAACAAACGTATACACAGGACTTCCCCCATCACCTTGACATGACATTTAAAAAACAAAACAAATGTTATGCTCAAGATAACTGCAATTACAGTTTATTTGCAAGTATTTGTGACTTTAGGAGGCAGAAGCTGAGGTGCTCTGTGAGTCAGAGGCCAGCAGGGTCTACATTTAAAGACCTATCTGGCCAGGTGGTGATGGTGTAATGTAAGCCTTTAATCCCATCACTCAGGAGGCAGAGGTGGGCGGATCTCTGTAAGTTTCAGGACAGTCTAGTCCACAAAGGAAGGTCAAGGACAGCTAGGGCTGAAAAACAAGCAAACAACAACAAAAAGACCCTGTCTTTAAAAAACATAAAGTGTAGCATTTCTCACTGTGGAACTGGGTGCACTTTCTAGGATCAGTTCAACTGTTGGGTTTGAGTGAGCACAGGACAGCAGACAGGCTTCTGAGACAAACCTCACGCTTATCTTTCTGCTGCTGGGACTCTCTCTCCTGTTAATCCTGGAGCATTCATCATCACAAGACCCACAATTGGACAATCTCAGGGGACCTGACCCCCGGGGCAGACGAGAAGACTGAAGTGTGCTCTTGGCACAGACTCCTGCTCATCCCCAGTCCCTGGGGCTGCCTCTCTGTTGACAAAGGCCTTGGCCTGAGGAAAAGATGTTTGCTTCTGCTCTGCTCCTGTATTCCTCCTCTTCCTGTGGGAACACCTGACACAAACGACTCTAGTGAGAAAAGATTTATTCTGGTTCAGGCTTTCAGAAGGGTCACACAGGGGAGGACACGGCACTGCAGGGAAGTACACCCCACGGTGACCGGGAGCAAAGAGTGCAACCAGAGTACTGTTGGCACAAGACACCTCCAAGGATCCGCCTTCATCCCCAACGGTCCAACCCAGAGGAGAGAGGCCATCTGCCGGCCTTGGTAACAGGTTAGCTGAGACTCCCCGCTGGCTGGTGTGAAACGCTCTTCAAAGACAGAGTGGCCCTCAGCCTGGTGCGATGGCACCTCAGTGTCTAAAGGTGCCCACCAAACCTGCCAGCCTGAGAGCCTCTGGGACTGACGGGGTAGAAGAAGACAGTGACTCCTGAAAGCTGTCCTGTGGTCACGCGCACACTCACCACATCGCACACGCACACTCACCACATCGCACACGCACACTCACCACATCGCACACGCACACTCACTCACTTACTCACACACTTATACACGCATATTCACATATTCACACACTCACACACTCACCCGCATCGCACACGCACATTCACACTCACTTACTCACACACTTATACACGCACACTCACCACATCGCACACGCACACTCACACACATCGTACAGGAACACTCACTCACTTACTCACACACTTATACACACACATTCACACACTCACACACTCACACACACTGCACACGAACATTCACACTCACTTACTCACACACTTATACACACACATATTCACACATTCACACACTCACACACTCACACGCATCGCACACGAACATTCACACTCACTTACTCACACACTTTTACACACACACATTCACACACTCACACACACCGCACACGCACACTCACTCACTTACTCACACACTTATACACACACATATTCACACATTCACACACTCACACGCATCACACACGAACATTCACACTCACTTACTCACACACTTTTACACACACACATTCACACACTCACACACACCGCACACGCACACTCACTCACTTACTCACACACTTATACACACATATTCACACATTCACACACTCACACACTCACACACACATCGTACACGCACACTCACTTACTCACACTTATACACACACATTCACACATTCACACACTCACACACACCGCACACGCACACTCACTCACTTACTCACACTTATACACACACACTCACACACATCGCACACGCACACTCACTCACTTACTCACACACTTATACACACATATTCACACATTCACACACTCACACACACCGCACACGCACACTCACTCACTTACTCATACACTTTTACACACACACTCACACACACCACACACGCACACTCACTCACTTACTCACACACTTATACACACACATATTCACACATTCACACACTCACACACATCGCACACGAACATTCACTCACTTACTCATACACTTTTACACGCACACTCACACACATCGCACACGAACATTCACTCACTTACTCACACACTTATACACACACACTCACACACACATCGTACACGAACATTCACTCACTTACTCACACACTTATACACACACATTCACACACTCACACACATCGCACACGAACATTCCCACTCACTTACTCACACACTTATACACGCACACTCACCACACATCGTACACGAACATTCACTCACTTACTCACACACTTATACACACACATATTCACACATTCACACACTCACACACTCACACACATCGCACACGAACATTCACACTCACTTACTCACACACTTATACACACATATTCACACATTCACACACTCACACACACATCGTACATGAACATTCACTCACTTACTCATACACTTTTACACACACACTCACCACACACATCGCACACGAACATTCACACTCACTTACTCACACACTTATACACACACACCACACATATTCACACACTCACACACACATCGTACACGAACATTCACACTCACATTTACTCACACACTTATACACACACATATTCACACATTCACCACACATCGTACACGAACATTCACACTCACATTTACTCACACACTTATACACACACACCACACATATTCACACACTCACCACACACATCGTACACGAACATTCACACTCACTTACTCACACACTTATACACACACACCACACATATTCACACACTCACCACACACATCGTACACGAACATTCACACTCACATTTACTCACACACTTATACACACATATTCACACATTCACACACTCACACACACATCGTACACGAACATTCACACTCACATTTACTCACACACTTATACACACACATATTCACACATTCACACACTCACACACACATCGTACATGAACATTCACTCACTTACTCATACACTTTTACACACACACTCACCACACACATCGTACACGAACATTCACACTCACATTTACTCACACACTTATACACACACATATTCACTCACACACATACTATACACATCACACACTCACACACAATAACTATAAAAAGGAGGAGTAGGGGGCTGGGGTAACGAGTCCCAAGCCCTGTCACCTGTTGCTGAGTCCTGCAAGCAGATGAGGACCTGACAACATTACCATTGGGCCTGATACTTAGGCAAGTGGTAGAGTCGCTGGCCCTCAGCTGCAGGGACCAGGAGTCTGTTTGCAAAGGTCCCTGGTTCTGATGCGACCTCCCCTAACTGACTACAGCTTGCTTTTAGTTTCTCTTCCCTGAAACAAGTGGCTTGGGACCAGTGCCACCCTCATACAATGTATACTCTAGGACGAGTCACCGAGCCATTAGCTGAGGGGCACAGCCCATCTGTCCAACAATATCGGTATCCCTGTCTCAGGATGACATTCTGGGACAGACGATCATCGCGCTGGCGACGTGGGATCTGTGCAGGTTTTGAAGGCCCATCAGTAGCAGCACACAGGGTGACATTAGCTCCCTGCTGCTGACAAACTTCCAGAGACATCAGCACAGAGGAGGAAAGGAAGCGGTCTCACAGGTCCAGGTCACTCGGCCCCGATGCCTTGGCTTGCTGGTCAAGTGCCACCTCGTGTCAAGAAGCAAGTGGCAGAGGAGGCTGTGGCAGCAGGAAGCAGAGAGAGAAAGAAGGGGCTGGACTCCTCCTAGCCCCTACCTACCGAGCCTCTGGGAGACACGCAGTGGGAGACGGCACATCAGTCCACACTCACCACTCCCTCTCTAACTGGGTGATGGTAGCTGCCACGCAGTCTTTGCCAGCTGAGGGGTCATCTCACTTTAAATGGTGACGTCACCTGTCGTCAGCAGGCTTGTGTTTGTGTTTGACTTTACTGTGTCAGGGCTTGGACCCCAGGCTCCCACCCAAAGTCCGCTGAAAGCCACTCCCAGCTTGCACTGGTCTAATTGTTTCAGTGAGACTTTATTCATACTTTGACATGGCTGTACTCTGAATTCAAGACACAGACAGCGCTCATACAGTGTGTCCACGAGAACGAGCCGGCTGGGACGCAGTCAGGAAAGGCAGATCATGGGCCATACCGTGCGTGCACGTGCTCACATGCATGGCGCGGGTGCTGGGGCCCGGCCGGGTGGTCTCCTAACTCGTCGTCTTGTGCCTCTGCCTCAGCCTGCGCCACATCCTCTCCAGTGCCACTTTCCCCATCAAGAATGTGATGGCGAAATTACGCTTGTACCAGTCTCTACAGAGAAGGAGAGGCACCGGTCAGCCACAGGGTCAAACAGCAGCTCCCCGGGGTGTGGTCTAGGCTCCCTACCTCCACCCCAACGGGCCATAAACATCTGTAGCCAGTTTCCTCCGTATGGAGGGTGCTCATCTTCCTCTGGCCTTTACTAAAAGATTCCCAAGATCCTCTCTGAATCCAGGGACATTCTAGATAGCACTGTGGAGACCAGTAACCATGGAACACAGCCTGGCAGGCTTCCTAGGGACGGGAAGGTATCCTGCCTTGGTCTAATTTATACACAGACACCGTGTTCCCCACTAGGAGGCTGCCTGGCCACAAGCCCTGAATCCCTTTTCCCGGACGACAGGTTTGTGTCCTCATACAAAGCGTGGTGGAATCTGTACAAGGGAAACGCTGCCTACAAGCCATTCAACGGGAGTCATTCACTGGTGGCAATTTCAAACCTAATGGCGAAGTCTGGAGAGCTCAATGGACAGAGGACAGGCACATCTTAGCCCTGGTGCAAGCCTCGGGCAGCCCCTGAGCTACTGAACCACTTCTGCTAGGGCTGGATCCACTGAGTTCCTGGATCTCAGTGACGAGGTAAGAGAGGAACCAGAGCCTGGGAGGGACAGCACAGGTCACACAGTGTAAGTCCCCAAGCTCCATCTACACGAGAACTTTACCACTCCCTCGCTGAGGCAGCACTGACACGCCACACCCTGGATAAAGAAAGAGGAAAAGCTTGGGAGAGCGAGAGGGCGCTCCTCCAGGTCTCAGGCCAAGGAGAGACACGCTGTCTCGTGATGTGGATGACCTGACCGACCAGGTAGGTGAAGAGCCTGCTGAGAGCAGCTGTACACGGGGAGCCTGTAGGGGGCAGTCAGGCTCTGACAGACAGGGACACTGCCGCTCATACAGCCTTCACTGTCACCCATATCCTCTCAGGGACTGCCACAACGGCCACACCCAGTCCTCACTGCTATATTTTAAAGCAAATCTCAAGTTGCACCTTAACTTTTACCAGAGACAACCAGAGGCTAAGGTGGTTATTTAAAAATCAGACTGATCAGGCCAAGCATGGTGGCCACTGACGTGGGATGTCCTTCTGTGTGCTGTGAATGCGTTGCTTTGACTGGTTGATAAATAAACCTGATCTGGCCAATGGCCAAGCAGAATATAGCTGGGTGGGAAATCCAAACAGAGTTACAGACAAAAAGAAGCAGAGTCGGGAAGATGCCATGTAGCCACCAAAGGAGTAACAGGCCAGAGCATCACCAGTAAGTCACGGCCATGTGGTGATACAGATTAGTAGGAATGGGTTAATTTATATGTAAAGGCCACTGGCCAAACAATTATAATTAATATTAAGCCTGAGTGATTATTTTATAAGAAGAGGCTGCGGGACTGGGTGGAACAAACAGAAGTTTCAATTTACAGCCCACACCTTTAATCACAGCACTTGGGAAGTGGAGGTAGGCAGACGCTCGGTGAGTTCGAGGCCAGCATGGTCTACATAGTGAGCGAGACCCTTTCTCAAAACACAAAATCAATAATATTAACAAAAGAGCCAAACATGACGACATATGCCTGTAATTCTATCACTCCCAAGGCAGAGGCCTGGTCCACCTAGCAAGTTTCAAGCCAATCAGGCCTATATATGAGACCTTGTCTCAGATTAAATAAATAAATAAATATAATAAAAGGGGGGGGAGAGTCACAATCTCACAGGATGATCAACTAACTCATGGACAAAACCACCTCATCTTTAGATACCCTGTCCAGATATCTGAAGACTCTGTAGAACTCCCAATATTTTGGGTTCAGCTGACATCAGGTTATGGTTTCAAATGTCTTCAGCTTTACATAGCCAAGGGAGACCCGTGAGCTTTCGTGAGCACTGGCACAGACACGGGTGTGCACAGACACGGGGCTGCACAGACACGGGTGTACACTGACACTGTGTTGTCCTCTGCATGTACAGTTCTGGGGAGGCTGCCTGACTCTGCCTTACACTGCACATCCTTGCTGGTCCCTGCATGGCTCTCCTGTGGCCTCTGGTCTCTGCTGACCTCCTCGTTTCCATTCAGGCAATGTCCTGACTGACTGTACACCCCCAAGGAATGACACTTGCTGACCTAAGGGCCGGGGGTGCCATGGGTGCTGAGCACACAGGAAGGCTGACAAGTTCAGCTAAAATGGCAAAAAGTGAAGATCACAAACTCATGCGACCTCCACCTCCAGTGAACACGTGGAAGCTTCAACTAAGGTAAGACAATAAGCAAATGCAGACATGACAGTCTAACTTTCGGGAAGATGCAAACACTTACCGGTTATAACACATGTGCTTCTGAAAATTCTTACTCAGAAACTCCTTATAAAAGTCAGCCATTTCCTCTGCATCCAGTGTTGCTCTCTGACCTGGAAGTAAATTACAACCTAACATAAGAAGTCGCCTGTGATGGTGACTATTTGCAAGCCCAGAGCACAGGTAGAAGTCTAAGGATCAGAAGTCAGAGGCCAGCCTTGGTATAGGAGAGCCTGTCTCAAAACTACAAGCACCAGGGGCCTGGTGCATGGCTCTGTGGGTAACGGCACCTGCTGTCAAGTCTGAAGACCTGAGTTCAATCCCTGGGACCCAGAAGGTAAAAGGAGAAAATTGACTCCCATTAATCATCCTCTGACCTCCACCTACATGCTACAGCATGTGCACACACACACTCACACACACACATACACACACACACTCACACACACACAAAAGTAAAAGGTTTCAAAGATTCTATTTTCTTTTTCAATTATGTATACATCTGTGTATCTATTCACAGGTCTGCGCACAGTGGGTAGGCAGAGTACCTGCACAGACCAGTGGGTGTTAGATGCCCTGGGCAGCTGTGAGCCGCTTGACATGATTGCTGGAAACCAACCTGGGTCCTCTACTAGAACAGAAAGAGCTCTTAAGCATTGAGCCATGGCCCCAGTTACTCCTCTCTGTAGGACCAGACTTCGTGGCACCAGGATGGAGCCCAGGGCAGAGCCACTTTCGGGGAGGCAGTCTTAGCCCATCCATAGAGAAGGGAGTGCTCTCTCCTCCAGCAGCATCTCTGGCCTTTCATGGGGACTGTCCAAACAGAAAGGCTGTTCCCCCGGCAACAGCAGCACAAGCTGTTTCACTGGAGGGACAGGCTCCCCTGCTGGCCGTGTAGACGTAAACTGTGTCCGCCCTCCACCTACTTCCTCATCTGGAGCAAACCATCACCACAGCCCAGCCTCACAGGAGCCTCTCTGAAGCTTGGCAGTAGTTGGAGCTGAGAGGGTACTCTGGACGGCCTTGCCATTGCTGTACTTAGCGCAGACAGGGAAGGGTGAGTGCAGGGCGGAGGCAGGCACAGCTGCCCACACCTGATGCTCTCCTAAGGGGCTCTCAGACAGGTTATAGGGTCACCACGCCCCAACTCCTCAGGTCAACGATGGACAGTAGGAACCTGCCAGGGTTTGCCAAGTCATTCTCGCTCTACTCCCTCTTGTGATAAACATAAAGCAGACTGGGGCAGGAAGAGGGGTGAAGAGAGGGCTGGGGAGCAGGAAGGGAGGAGGAGGGAGGGAGGAGGGGGAAAACTCAATCATTACATCAGTTCTGAAAATGCGTGGGCGTCTCACAAATGCCAGCAGACAAAGTGGCTCTGTCTCCATGGCTCCCTCTTTTCTAGATGCAAACACTTGTGCAATCATGGAAGGGGAGGGGGACGCCTTCCTGATCGTAGTTGACAACTGAAGTCGGGGCTTTCCACTTCCTGCACTTGCAGGCAGCCGGTGAACCCCACACAGCAGTAGAACGTGCAGCGTATCCCGCAAGCAGGTGGCCAGCCGCTCTGCCTAGTCTGCGGTCACATGGCTTCTAGACAGCCCACTTTGCAGTTAAAGGAAGCCTGTAAGGAACCCTTGCTGGACTCACGTTTGCTCCATAAGAACTTCTTAGAGACGGCTCATAGCTACTGCTTGTTTTCTTCTTTACATGTCACAACGGGTGCAACTAGATCCTTCTAGAAAAGGGCTAGGGACTTCAAGCTGCCACCAGCCACCAAAGCAGCTCCAGCAGAACTGAAGGAGAGCTGCCCTGTGAATGCAGACTGCCCCCTTGCTGCCTGAGACGCACTGTTTGTTAGGGCTGGCAGCTTCGTTTTCACACTCGTCATCGTCCATAGGTGTTCTCACCAAGGCAGAGTGGCTGCAGTCTGTTTAAGAGTCCTGATGGCCAATGGCATCTTGGCTATAAACACTGCCCATCTGCCATTCACGGTGAACTGTGTGTGCTTCCTGGACACTGAACCCTTTGTCTGCTCACCCCCTGGGTCTCCTCCATCCCCGGTTCCCATGGCAGCAGCCAGGCTCATTCAATACAACCCCATCTCTGTCTGCTGACCCAAGGCCCAGCATGGCTGGAGCTGGCCTGGGGGCTGGCATCACTGGACAAAGGAATAAGCAGGGCGGCAGAGGGCCAGAGTACACCAGGCAAGAGAAGGGCAGGAAGGAATCCTAGAGTGGTCCTGCCCCCACTGCCCGAGCACGGCCACGGCCAGGGCCCTGCTCCCCATGCCCAGCTCCTCGGCGTCCACTGAGCTGTTCAGCCAGCGCCTGCTGGAAGTCCCCCCACAGGAGCCCCCGCTGTTCAATGCTTTCAGCCCCGTGCTGCTGCTGTTTGGGTCTAGAATGCCTCCTGTGTCCTACAAGGCACAAGGCGTGGAGTCAAATAGGAGGCTCCTGGGTCACTATGTGTGCTTTCAAGGGGGATTGTGGGACCTGGGTCCTATCCATTTACAGAACTGGTTTGTTTTTTTTTAAATATACAATTTATTTTTTATTTTATGTTCCCTGGTGTTTCGCTTGCATGTATGTCTGTGTGAGGGTATCAGAAACTGGAGTTACAGACAGTTGTGAGCTGTCATGTAGGTACCGAGAATTGAACCCAGGTCTTCTGAAAGAGCAGCCAGTGCTCTTAACCACTGAGCCATTTCTCCAGCCCCATGATTTTGTTATTGCTGGTTGTTTTTCAAAACAGGATTTCTCTGTGTCTGTGTAGACCAGGCTAACCTTGAACTCACAGAGATCCGCCTGCTTCTGCCTCCCAAGCGCTGGGATTAAAGGCGTGCGCCACCATCGTCTGGCTCAGCCTGACTTTCTACCACTAGAAAGGTTAGCTTTAACTCTGAAGTCTATCAGTAACTGACGCCCAATAATAAAAAAAATATTTGGAATGTGTATTCTAAGAGGAATAAATCTAATTTTTTTCTTTTACATCAAAATCAATTCGTTTTTCCAATATAACTTCCTAGACAAAACTCTGACTGAAGCTCCAGGGGGGTCTCCACAGAGCCCGACATGTTAAGTGTTTCTCAGCACATGTGTGTTCTCTCAGCCACTGTGTCCCCCTCCCCATTTCAACCCCCTCAGCCTGGTAACTCTTTGCCTAACCTCAACAGAACATGCTTTTAAGCATTTCTACATTATGGAGGCTGTGTCTAGCTAGCTGACAAGAACTCCCCAGGACTCTTGTTGTGCTGAGGAACTTGACATCCACGCTCAGCAGTTTCCAGGAACACTTTATTAACCATGCCGCTCCCACCCAACTGGGATTTGTGTCCTCCACATGGCTCTAAAGACTGTCAGAGTGGTGACTCTGTACTGTCTGTCCCTCTCCATAGACAGTCTGTCTTTTTCATTGCCAAGTTAATTATAAGTGTTACATAAGGCCAGTCTTTCAGTACATAGCAGAGTCACTAAGAAGACTGTCATATTCACAGGGGTCAAAACAACTCTCCTGTTAGAAGAGCGGCCAATCTCTACCATAATACCACAGCATGAGCCGACCCGGTGCCACCATCTGGTAGACCAGACACCCCTTATGGAGACAACACACGCACACACATGGCCAGCTCTCTCTCTCTCTATCTCACACACGCACGTGCACGCACACACACGGACAGCACACACACACACTCTCTCTCACACACACGGACAGCACACACACACTCTCTCACACACATACACACACATACATGCACACACAAATACACATACACCCTCTCTCACACACAACACTCTCTCATACACGCACGCACACATGTGCACGCACACGCATGCGCGCACACACACACACACACACACACACACACACACACACACCTAGCAGAGGCTGCACTGAGAACTGCCGAGATCAGCAGGGTCTTGTGGCTGCCGTGGGTAGAGCCCAGCCTTTCTCACTGTGTGGTCTCGGGTTGGGCACTCACCCTAGTTAAGCCTCAGGTTCATCACGCATTATTTGGTCTTTGTGGCTGATACATGGAAAGGACTCAGAACAGTGGCTGGCACTCCATCAGGACCAAACTGACCACCATCCATTCCCACACTGAGTGTTGGGCACAGCATCCTCCTCTGTTGTGGACCCGCTAAGACACTGGTTGTCAGCACAGAGCAATAGAAGGGGGCTAGCACCCAGACTACTGCTCCTGAGCCCTTCTCCTGAGGAAACCAGGACAGCTAGGGATCAGCAGAGAGTGAGGGCACTTTGAACCCAATGACAGACTCAGCTTTGGAATTAATGGCTCTGGATTATCCATTAGAATATCTTGACAGTAGGCATCTACTTAACAAACAGTAAGGAATATTAGTAAGGTCTAACTTCAACACTAAGAGAAAATGGCCAACGCTGTTTTGAGTAAAAGAAATGGCAACTCAGGTATGGTGGCAACCTTGGTTAATTCCTGTACTGGGGAAGCTGGACAGAACTCAGGGTCAGCCCCAGCTACACAGTGAGACTTTGTCTCAAAAACCCAAAAGCCAAACAAACAAAAAGGAGACAAGCAAATCCAGCAGCCTGCATCTATTTTCCTGTCCTAGGAGACGGACAAGGACCAAGTGGTGAGGCAGCAGGCCTGCCCTGTGGTCACAGGGTCCAAAGCCTGTGACGAGGGCTGGGCATGATGGCCACACCTTTAATGCCAGCATTTTGGATCTCTGAGTTCAAGACTAGCCAGGGCTACATAGTGAGACATAGTTTCAACAACAACAACAACAACACAAGTCCACAAAGGGGGAGTACCAGGTATGAATTTTCGGCAGAATAGTCTAGCTATAAAGCAAAGAATGGATTTAAAGCAGGGATTGACAAGCCGGGCGTCTCAACAAAACAAATAAAAAGACCAGAAGCTGGGGAAGACTGAGACACTGCAGTGGACAGAGAATTAACAGGGGTCTAACTTCAATGCTTACAAGACAGGGATGCAAAGTGTTGGGAAACGCACAGTTCAATTGGCCTGACTTAGAAGAAGGTTAACAAACTGCTCTTCTCTTTCTGGCTTGAGAACTGACTCAGGAATCCAGGAGAGCTGGGAAGGTGGGAGGCTGGGTGATGGGGACGTCTTCTGCACGTATGTTTCTCTTACTGGTTGATGAATAAAGCACGGTGGCCAATGAGGCAGGATGGTAGGTGGGACTAGGAGACAAGGAGGATTCTGAGAAACATAGGCAGGGTCAGTTACTGTAGGAGGAAACAGCACTCTGCCATTAGCCATGTGGCATATTAGAGGCGCATACAGATGAGGTAATAAAAGGGCGGTTTACTGCACCACTAACCACACCCACTTTAGGCATGACTAAAGACGTATACGGACGTAGTCGGTGAACTATGCCACTTTTGGGCATGGCTAGGGGCGTGTATGGAGGAAGGAATAAAAGACTGAACAGCAGAACCTCTCGCCCTCTTTTTGGCTTCCAGTTCGGGGGCAGAAAAATACTCAGCTCATCTGGGTTACTTGTTTTTCTCTTGTGAGCAATTTCTACACTAAATACTTACTTATATTTTCAATAAGTGTGCCGTTTATCGTTGCAGCATCAAGTTACCATGTAGGACATGAGAGGAATAACAGGTCTAGACCCTTTCTCCGGTAAGAGAAGGCCATATGGAAATACTTAGATTATTAGAAGTGGGTTAATAATTTAGACAGAACTAGACAATAAGAAGCCATAGCCAGGGGCTGGAAGGATGGCTCAGAGGTTAAGAGCACTGGCTGTTCTTCCATTGGTCCTGAGTTCAATTCCCAGCAACCACATGGTGGCTCACAATCATCTGTAATGAGATCTGGTGCCCTCTTCTGGCCTGCAGGCATACATGCACACAGAACACATAATAAATCTTAAAAAAAAAAAAAAAGAAGAAGAAGCAGCCATACCTAGCGGCCAACATTTAATAATTAATATAGCATCTGTGCGTTTATTTGGGGGACAAGGACTACGGACCTGCTGGGCCAGAAAACTCATGCTTACAGTTGGAGATTACAGAGGCCTTGGCTTGAAGTCACCCTTCAGCAGGATGAAGGGCTGTGCTGTCGATGGCTGAGGATTTACCTAGAATGCTCAAGGCCCTGGATTCCACTTCCGGTACCATACAGAAAAAGGAAATCAATGGAAAGAGGAGGCCCTAAAGTCTGAGAGGCTGTGGTACCCCTGAAGGAGGGAGACAGAGGAGGGGGCCAGGAGCCTGTGGGAACCATGATGGTACACACACTCAGGAAAAGACGTCTCCTCAGGCGAGAGACAGAAAGGAAAGACACAGAGGTTGTCTGTCCCTCCACTTCCCTGTTTGGTTGGAATCTCAAGCTCACCCCTGCATGAAAGCCCCCTCCCTCCAAACCCCATCCACTCAGAGACTCTCCCAACAAAGGGAAGGCACCAAAGGCTTCCTTCCCTGAGGTTGCCAGCTGCCCCAGTGCCTGCCTAAAGCGGTTAGCTTTTGACCACACTTGGACACAAACCCAGCTGGGGGCGGACACGTCATCACCCCTTGCCTACAACCTATATAAACTCCCTACTTTAGTTCAGGCGTGTGACTTCTCTGGCCTCAAGCTCTGGAACTGGAGAATCTTCCTGGGAATTGCTTTGTTCATATAAACCTGTTGTCCTACTTTTTCAGTTCAGCTTGATCTGGCTTACTGCATCGGCAAAGAAACCTATTTCTTCAGACATTAACACAGCACACACATACTGACCTGATTCGGTTCGCAGGCCCAAGCCTTTAGCTTGCAGTCTTGAGTAAATGAATTCTTCTTTTTCCTGCAAGACGACCATCAAAACTCTCTTAGCCAGATGAGCTTGGGGAGTGGAGACAAGGGGAGCAGGAAGTCAAGGTCATTCTCAGCTATGAGACTGAGCCCACCATGCCTACATGAGACCCTGTCTAAAACATCAAAGTGAGGAAAAAATTAAAACTCAACAAACAACTCTCTTCTCTGCAGGAGTGGTGGTACATGTCTATAACCCAGCTCCTCAGGAGGTGAGGCACCATGGGCAATTTAACATGACTCCATCTCTAGGTAACATTAAGACGGGCTGGAATTGTAGCTTACTAGTAGAACACCTACCTAGTGCAAAGTCCTAGGTTTAATACTCAGCACCAAAAACAAAAGGAGAGAGAGAATGGTCTTCTCTAGCTTCCTACTTCTCTCAGTTAGAGCCCAATGCTGGGAAACACCACACCTCAAAGCCTGCTTTTTAAAAGATTTATTTTATGTATGTATGAGTGTCTGCTTGTATGTCTGTGTATATATAGCATTGTATGCACAGTGCCTGAGGAGTCCAAAAGGGGGCACTGTATCCCTGGAACAAGAATTACAGCTGGTGCTGGGCAGTGGTGATGGATACCGTTAGTCCCAGCAACTCAGAGGCAGACAGACGGATCTCTGTGAATTCAAGGCCAGCCTGGTCTACAAAGTGAGTTCCAGGACAGCCAGGTCGACACAGAGAAACTCTGTCTCAAAACATATAAACAAAAACAAAAAACCTTGAACTCTCATAAGTGACGACCTAAGACAGTGACTTTGTGTAAACAGAAACACCATTGAGGACAGGAACTAGTCCTGGCCCCTTGTTACTTCTCTTCCCACAAAATCCAAACTCTGTGACTTATGATGGCCAAGGTTTCTTCCATACAACTGCATGATGGTTTGAAACAATCCTTTGATCTTCTAAAGACTTCTGTTTTATTTTGAGACAGGGTCTCACTATGTATCTCAAGACCAGGCTGACCTTGAACTAGAGATCCTCCCGCCCTTGATGCCCAAATTCTGTGCATCACAAGACCAGGCTGCTAAACACTCTATTAAGAAAAGACAAACCATTCTATATATTCACACAAACCCCAAACAGAACAGCAACAATGTAAATGCTGTGTGTATTGTGGCTGAGTGTATTGTTCTTCACAGATATGAGTTCCACACTTACCTTTCTAAAAGTCAAGTTCTGGTTCGCCCAGAACTGCTGGTTCCATTCTTGTGTTTCTTGTCTCAATTCTCTCAGCCTTTGCTCCAAGGGGGACTCGTCTTCAGGAGCATGAAAATGAACTGGGCGAAGGTTTGAGTATTTATCTGGGGGTCCTATCCAATCATGGCAAGAATGTCTTGGAGGGCAGAATCTTGAGACCTTTAATGAAATGCATGGGATTAGCATTCAACTAAACCCGACCCCGGGTTACAAAACCTGACCCTGGTGTTACAAAAATTAACAATCAGTCGTTATTCAGGACCCTCATCTTATTCTGTGAAAGACTACAATGTAATCATTTTCCTAACTTTGTTTTGTTTTCCTTTTTGGTTTGGTCAGACAGGATCTAACTATGGCCTCAGCCTCCCAAGTGCTGGTATTACAGGCAGACACTAACACACCTGGCTTAAAAACATTAATGCCATTATACTGTTCACCAAATGATGCTGAAACAGTTCTACATCCTGACAGAGGAGGTGGCCAGGCTTAGCAGGCAGTCTGTAACTCCAGCTAGAAAGCTGACGCAGGATCACTGTTTGAAGCTAGCATGGAAAATCTGGTAAACTGTACCTCAAAATTACAAGTGTAAGCCAGGCGTTGATGGCTCACGCCTTTAATCCCAGCACTTGGGAGGCAGAGGCAGGTGAATCTCTGTGAGTTCGAGACCAGCCTGGTCTACCGAGCAAGTTCCAGGACAGTCTCCAAAGCAATACAGAGAAACCCTGCCTCGAAAAAAAAAATTACAAGTGTAGATAAAGGGACTAAGAATGTAGCTCAGTAGTAACAGTTTGCCTAGCACTCCCAAGGCTCTTGGTTCTATCCCCAGGACATCTAAAAAATATTGAATGTGTATGCTCGAGCATATGCACTTTGGTCTTCTGAAGACACTACTGAGGCCAAGTGATGGTGGCACATGCCCTTAATCTCATATTCAGGAGGCAGAAGCAGGCAGATTTCTGAATTCTAGGTCAGTCTGGTCTACAGAGTGTGTTCCAGGACAGCTACAGCTACACACAGAGAAACCCTATTTCAAAAGACAAAACAAACAATAAAAAAAGATAATGAAAAACAATCTTTTAAGACTGGGTGTGGGGCATACATAGTTTATGCCTCTCAGGAGGCAGAAGCAGACAGATATATGAGTCTGAGCTTTATAATGAGTTCCAGAATATTCAGGGCTATATAGTGAGACCCTGTCAAAATCATAAATGGCGGCTGGAGAGACGGCTCAGAAATTAAAAAGTGCTTGCTGCTCTTTTAGATGACCCAGCAACATCATTTTCTGGTTCACAGTCATCTATAACTCCAGCTCCAAGGGAGCCAGATACCCTCTTCAGGCCTCAGCAGACAAGCACATGCCACATAACGTTTATTCACTAATAGGTTTTTCTGCCATGCCACCCCCTGACCAAGCAAGTTTCTTCACTTGCGCAGTAAGCCAGATCAAGCTGAATTGAAAAAGTATAGCAACAGGTATATTGAACAAAGCAACCCGGGAAGGTTCTCCAGTTCCAGAGATCAAGGCCAGAGAAGCCAAGCACCTGAACTAAGGTAGGGAGATTTTATAGATTGTAGGCAAGGAGGGATGACACATTCACCACAGCTGGGTTTGTGCCCAAGTAAAAGCTGAGCTTTTAAATGCAAACTTGAGCATCTGGCAACTTCAGGATGCAGCAATAACCACCAAGAATACAGAACTGAGCTTTTGGTGCCTTCGTTTGTTCAGAGACTCTGAGTGGGCGAGGTGTAGAGGTAGGGGTAGGAAAGGGGGGGGGGGGGACTTCCCAAACTGTGCAGGGGGAGCAAAGGCTCTAACCAAATATTCATATACACATGAACATAAATAAATCCTTCAAAATATTTTTTAAAGTCAGCATTTAATTATATGCTTGTTAGGTCTAATTTATATGTTTATCATAATATCACATATCCTTTATTTTTAATTTATGGGCATCGCCCCCCAATATCAATCATCTTAAAACAAAGGCTTGGGGCTGGAGAGATGGCTCAAAGGGTAAGAGCACTGGCTGCTCTTCCCAGAGATTCTGAGTTCAATTCCCAGCAACCACATGGCAGCTCACAACCATCTGTAATGAGATCTGGTGCCCTCTTCTGGCCTGCAGGCTTACTTACATGCAGGCAGAACATTGTATACATAATAAATAAATCTTTAACAACAACAACAACAACAAAAAAGGCTCTTCCTGCAAGTTCAAAATCAAGTCAGGGAAAATGGGGACACAGCTCAGCAAGGCTTCACACATGCTGGGCAAGCAGTCTGCCCCAAGGAGCCACACCCCAGCCCTCTGAAGCTTTTCCTATTTATTTATTCATTTTTGTAACTGTGAAGATTGAAACCAGACCTCACGCAAGTGCTTTGCTACATATTTTTAATAGACAAATAGAAAAGGATGCTCTGGGCACTGGGCATAGTGACCCCTGCCTGGGGAGGCAAGGCAGACGCCTACTTAGCCCTCTAAGGAAGCCCCATCACCACGGGAGCACTCTGTCCACACTGCCCCCACCCGGTCCCCACCCTGTCACCCTGCACCACTGCCCACAGCCAAAGCAATCGCTAATGCTTTCTTTGAAAAGGCTGCAGCGAGGCTGGAGATGGCCCCGTGGTTAACAGCACTTGGTGCTCCCACACGGAACCCAAGTCCAGTTCCGCATATTCCAGGCAGATCTGACACCTCTGGCCTCTGTGGGTACCTGCACTGTTCTACATATGCCCATAGTTGCACACACACCTCCTAACCCAAAATAAAAACATTTCTAAGTTTATTTTTAATATTTTTATTTACTTATTGTGTACAGCCTTCTGCCTATAGGCCAGCAGAGGTTACCAGATCTCATTCAAGGTGGTTGTGAGCCACCATGTGGTTGCCGGGAATTGAACTCAGGACCTCTGGAAGAACAGTCAGTGCTCTTAGCCGCTGAGCCATCTCTCCAGCCCTTTTAAGTTTATTTTTGTGTACAGTGTTTTACCAGCATGTATACACCTAGTACCTGTGGAGGCCAGAAGAGAGTGTCAGATTCTCTGGAAGGGGAGTTATAGAGGGTTATGAGCAGCTATGTAGGTGTTAAGAATTGAACCTGGCCGGGCATTGGTGGCTCACACCTTTAGTCCCAGCACTCGGGAGGCAGAGGCAGGCGGATCTCTGTGAGTTCAAGACCAGCCTGGTCTACAGGGCGAGTTCCAAGATAGCCTCCAAAGCCACAGAGAAACCCTGACTCAAAAAACCAACAACAACAACAAAAAAGAGTTGAACCTGGGTCCTTGGTAAGAGTAGCCAGTGTTCTTAATGACTAAGCCACCTCGATAACCATAATAAATAATTCTCTTTATTGTTTTTATGGAGCTGGTATCAAACTCTGGACCCTACCCATTCAAGGCACACACTCTCTCACTGAGTCACAGTCCCAGGCCCCAGTGGCTTACCTTTGTGTGTGTGTACTTGTTATGGTGGCTGTGTACAGTCGAGGTGCGGGCACCGTGCCTATGTCACTGAGCCATCATCTCCCTCCCAGGGCTAACTTGTACAGACCACTCCACCACATGTGGCAGCTTTGGATGTGGTGGCATCAACATGATCTACGTCAAGTGTCTTCCTTCATCACTTTGCGTATCTTTATTATTGGAAGTAGGGCCTCTCAGGAAACCTGAAACTCATCAAATGGCCAAGCTGGCTGCCCAGCCAACAAGCTTCATGGATCTGCCTGTTCCCATTCACCACCAGGATAGAGACACACTGGGTTTTCACATGGGTGCTAAGGATCCAAACCTAAGTCTCACTGCATGTGTGGCACACACTTGACAATTAAGCCATCTCTCTAGCGTTCCGAAGGCTTATTTCCCCCTTTCTTCAAATGTTGGTGTATGTGGTATGTGTACATGTAACACGTGTGCATTGTGCATGCGGAGGTCCAAGGTTAGCTCTGGGTGTTGTCCCTTGTCGCTCTCTACTTGTATGCTGAACTTGAAGGCCAGTTTCAGCTTACTCCAGGGCTCTGTCTGCTTCCCGCATGCTGGGATCACAACAGGCAGTCACACTCGCTCTCATGTACAGGAATCCTCAGGCTTACAACGACTACCCGCCGCACATGGCAATTGCGGGGGAAATAGAGCATGCTTAGAAGCCCTGAGTGAGCCAAAAGTGGAGCGCGCTCTTCACATCTCAGGTTCTTGGGACCCCAAGGGGTTAGCTCTGGAGTTTCTGAAGCTACCCACAAAGGCCCAAACGCTGGGATTGCAGGCACGTAGGCGGGCCTGGGGTCCTGAGTGCGAACTTCTCAGGAAGGGGAAGACGCAGAGGCAGGCAGGCCAGTGCTAGCGGGAGCAGGGGAGAGAGCAAGGGACTCGTGAAGTGCGAACGGCCACTGCTGCTGGACCGCTGGGGACTTCAGAGACCCAGCACAGTCATACCCACCGCCCATGCTGCCCCTCAACTGCCTGGCCTTTCTGCACTTCTGCGTATAGCTTCAAAGCCTACAAGGAGCATTTTCACTGGGTAGACACACGTTCTTTTTCTTCTTAGACTTCATCCGCAGCAGGAGATGCTGAAAGAGCACCCCATGTGCACCTTTAATCCCAGTACTCAGGAGGCAGAGGCAAGAATTCCAGGCCAGCCCGATCTACATAGCTAGTTCCAGGCCAGCTAAGGATGCACAATGAGACACCGTCTCAAAAACAAATAGGGGGTGGCCCCAGTAAGCACTCTTCCTAACTGCCGTGCGCAGCACGGTGAGCCCAGGAGAGGCCAGCAGAGCAGGGGTCTCTTCAGACAATCTACTGGTGTCAGACCACCTGCTTCCACAGATGAACCTGGGTAAGGAAAGTTCCAGTCACTCTGCTTTGCATAATAACTTGAGAGATGCTTATCTTTGGCTATGATGGGTTAATTCCTCTGCTTTTGCTACATGAAAATACTTTGTGTCTTTGTTCACTAAGCAGGTGCTATTAGGAAAGAAAGCAAGAGGCTTGGGGGAGGGAATAAACCCTTCTGTAAAAGAAGCCTCCCTTTGTAGAGTGAATAATTACTGTAATTTAAGTTCTTATAATGTAAGAAAATAATGCCTGGCTTCCTGAAACGTGGACAGGAGGGCCATGTGTGGGAAGGGAGACTCCTTGTGGGCCACGTACCCTGCAGGGAGTCAGA